CCATCATGATGACATTTTTTTCCCAACTTGGCAATCTTTTCCGGCGACCGGAGGTGGTGGTACTGGAAGGTGGCTGAGGTGGTGGTTGGGATCTATATATTTTTTATTTATTTTTTACGATTTTTATTTTTTTTATTTTGATTTTTTTATATTTTATAATGATTGTTTAAAAATCCTATTATCAAGGACAAAGGAAAGGGTAGAATAGGAAGAGTTAGTCCTATTTTGGGAATTTAAACTTTAAACTCCTATTGTTGCGATTATCCTTTTATTTACTACTCCCTCCGTCCCGCTAACATTGGGACAAGAGGGAGTGACACACAAATTAATAAAAGTGGTTTATGTGGTTGATATTGAATTGATAAAGTAAGAATAAAGTAAGAATGATTTAGAACCACACAAACTTTACCAAAATTTGTATAGACAATCTTTATAGGATGGACCGATAGTAAAATGTGACAATCATAGCGGGACGGAGGTAGTACTATTTAGGTAAATCTCCCATTATTAAAACAATCAGTGTAGTACAATCGGATTATTTGGAGATGGGCCGCTCGATCGGAAGTCAGAACAATGGAGATCGCCGTGGAGTATAGTTGTATACATAAATATTACGTATGTCATCAAAGTGATCAAACCCTACATACTCCTTTACGCAGCCTCTCTTATTCAAACAAGCAAAATCATGGAGCTCAAAAACCCACTATCAACCCTACCCTCAGAGATCAGCCGTGACATATTCTTAAGATTGGCAGGAAAGCAACTGATCATAGCCCAATGTGTGAGCAAAGAGTGGCATTCCTTCATAGACAACATCAAGCTCTCTTATACCGGGCAACCGCGGTTTCTCATCCTCTCGAAATCTTCTCGAAACGAGGAAGGACAACCTAGGGAAGTTAGATCAATGAGCCTTGATCTTTGCAATGAGAGCCTATTCGAGTTTACAGGTCATTTATCTGTTACCATACCCGTCGTCGTAAATGATTCTTTACGTTGTTTTCGTGATGAGTATGCGTTGAGGGTTTTGTGTTCTTGTGGTGGATTTGTTCTTCTACACATTGGAGAACATATGATTTTGTGGAACCCCCATACGAGCTGGTCTACCAAAGTTCTTGAGCTTCAAAGACTTCGAAGTCGCCGCTATAAGGTGGTCGGAGGGCTTTGTTATGATCTCTCCACGTCAGATCACAGTGTTGTCTTATTACTTCGTCACAACATCCCGGACCGCGGTCGTCAGTTTGTTCTGGTTTCAAGGCTGAAAAATAAAGGGTGGCGAGAAGTGCCCTTTCCGTATAACTATACCACTTCAAGAAATGGGGTCAACAGAGATGGGGTCAACTTTAATAATACCCTCCACTGGATAGTAAGTGACATAAAAGAGTCGCAGGGATGTGATTACAGCGATTATGATGATGACTATATGAGATGGGACAATCTTGTTGGGTGCAATAAGATTGTTTATTTCGATCCGGTAGATGACGCATTCAAAGTATTGCCCTCCCCTGCACGGATTAATCCGGAAGAAGAAGACTCTATAGTTGGTATGGGAATCATAGATGGATGTTTCTCAATGGCAAGGAAGGATAAAAAGAGGCAAGTGATCCAAGTGTCAGTTATGAAAGAATATGGAAAACCAGAGTCATGGGTCACATCCTTTGCAATCTCCATGTCCAGATTTGCTCCGCGTGACATTTACAACCTCAAATTTATGTCCCAAAATGGGGAAGTATTTATGAATTTCGGTTATTTCTGTAGAACATGTGTGTATGTTGTCAAAGAAGAAAGACTGGAAGAGAAGTTCTTGGTACCAGATGATGTTATAATTCATCATTATGATGGCCTTCTTTGCTTCTACGTCGAAAGTTTTGATTTGCCACGTGAAGTGAGTTGGAGGGACGGTGATGAGGAAAAATGCAAGCTTCAGAAAAGTCGTACTCCCGTTGATTGAAAATATGTTTATTGTTGCTTCTAGATATATCAATATTCAATATTTTAAGAGGTTTAGATTTGGTATTACATTATGCTTTGGAATATCTTGTCTTGTACCATAGAATGACTACAATAAGCAACCTTGGGGTCAGTTGAAGAGGTTTAGACTTGAAAAGTGTGTTTTGTGGTTATTGTTTGTTTTTGTAAAATTACTTATAAGTGTTGGACCCCCAAAATCAATTAGCCGCCCTATAATTCAACCTACCCTTTGTTTTCTTGAATGTGCTTTAACCAATGAGAAATTTGCTTCTAGTAGGATCAAATCATAGCTCTTTTACAAAAATAATACCTGCTAATGTTTTTTCCATTCATATTACTTATTTAGTTCTAGATTAGGAAACCTAATTCTAACTTTCCAAATTTGCCCTTTAGGCCAAAAAACTTCCGCCAACCAAGCTTCTTCCGCAGGAAGCCCATCCTCCATGTTGTCGTTGCCAGACGCCGCCGCCGTTACCGGACCTCATCGCTGTCGTTGCCAGACGCCGCTGGCGGTGCCGGATTTGGGAAACGGTTGGGTCCGATTTGGGGAATGATTGGGTCCGATTTGGGGAAAGGAAGCAGGGGAGGAGGGCTGGGGACAGGAGAGTAGGGCTGGGGGCTGGATGTTGGGGGTGAGGGTGGGTGGCTGGATGTTGGGGGTGAGGGCGGGTGGCTGGTGGTGTTGACTGGCGGTGACCACCGGGGATGGCTCTGTCACTGTGACGCTGGCGGCATGGATGGGAGGGTAAGGGGCAATTTATTGTCTACTTATTGTCTATTTATTGTCTATTTAATGTCTGGTATTTCCTAAAAGGTAAGGGTATTGTGGTCAATGCAGGTGTAGTTGAGTCTTACGCGAATCTGCGGTCTTAGTTTTGGAAAATCCGTACGTTTTGCTCCTATTTGTTGAAATCTCCCTTAACCAATTCCATTAGCCAACCTTAGCTTCCCCTGATCATGTCTTCAAAAGAGTTCTTTCTCCAGCCAGGGCTCAAAAGTATTGCATTGCATATATATTCCCTGAGCAACTCCGTGAAGGTAGGGAGAATCCAAGACCTCCCACAAAGGAGAGACTCGGAGGTGGACGGTCATCCATTGGACTACACCCACCTTCCCCTTGGATTCCTCCTTTCTGTTATGATAACATGAATTGAGTTGAATGATAAATTTTTCCACTTCATTGTTGCATTTTGGCTAATACTTGTTAAGTTTTTGGGAAAATATAATTTACTACATAGCAACAGGTCACATCAATAAAAGCAGGAAATTCTTTTCAAAATGGTTGACAAAAATTTATCTATTGAGATTTAAAATGTTACTCATCATAACATGTGATCTAGACTAAAACTAATCAAATTTTCAAAAGGGAAGCGGATTTGAAGCAAAAAAAAAAGTTGTAGTATCACAATACTCTATTTGGAAAAGTAAATTATAATCAATACATAATTAATTCAGAAGCAGAATTTTCACTATTCATAGAGGTGAGAAGTTTTAAAATGATACGTAATAATTACTCTAGGCTAGGAAAAGTTTAGGAAATAATGAACTAAACCCATGTAGAAATTGTCTGAAGTTTTAAAAGAATTTTCGCGGAGTATAATTTAGGAAATAGTGAGTTAAAATAAAAAAGTACTCCCTCTGTCCCAATTTGATTTGCAAAATTTCCTTTTTTGTTTGTCCCAAAATGGTTTTCCACTTTCTATTTTAGGTATGTAAATAAGAACAAATAATGACAAATTTACCCTTACTTTTACTTTTTCCTCATTAACTTAAAAGCATCTACTTTTAGAAAGATGAACAAAAGTGTAAAAAGCAAGCATCATTTATTGTCATTTCTTAATCCTTGTACCGGTCAAAGTTTGCAATTCAATTCGGGACAGAGGGAGTATTTGAATATCTCAATTCGCAATGCTGATATAATCTGCTGATCACATTTCCAGAGAATCCAGATCTTCAGTTTTTCATTTTATAGCTTCAAGTGTATCGTATAATTATGGAAGAAAACTAAACAACAGAGAATAATAATGAAAGAAATAACATACTCCCTCCGTCCCAATTTGATTTGCAAAATTTCCTATTTTGGTTATCCAAAAATGGTTTTACACTTTCTATTTTAGGTATGTAAATAAGAATAAAGTGAAAAATTTACCCTTACTTTTACTTTTCCCCATTAACTTAAAGACATCTACTTTTAGAAAGATGGACAAAATAGTAAAAAGCAAACATCATTTATTATCATTCTTTAATCTTTGTGCCGGTCAAAATTTGCAATTCAATTCGGGACGGAGGGAGTACTACGTACTATCGTATAAAAGAATGACAAAAAAAAGAAAGAGTCGTGTTTAATATAGTAAAAATTCTTTGAACTATTTTTTAAGGCTGATTTTTTCAAGCTAGTGGTCATTGCTCAAATAAGCCCTCGAACTTTAATAAAAAGTGCAGCTCTTTTACAGAAGGCTTTTTCCGGCTGTCTAATTTGATAAAAAATTTACCTATATCAAATTTTGAGTTTTTGATATAAAATTTTGAGCATCTTCTTCATTAAGTCTAATTTACCTATATCAAATTTCAGCTAAAAATTTAATCGATAAGACAATCAAATGATTTTCTGAAATATACCGCGTTGTCTAACTGCGTTGTTATCTTCAAAAATTCATTTGACTGCCTTCCCGATTGAATTTTTAGATGAAATTTGGTATGAGTAAACTATATTTAATGAAGAATATGCTCAAAAAAATTATCAAAAAATTCCACCAGAAACCACCCTAAATGGCGACGATCGGACAGAGCCTCCTATAAAAGGGCTTATTTATACTTTTTATGAAAGTTCGAGGGCTTATTTAGTAGTTCTCCCAAGATTATTTTAATTTTTAGGGTAATTTGAATTTGCATCACATTTTATTGTCTAAATTAACAAAAATTGATTGAAACTAGTAAAAGATTGTGATAAAGAGTGCTCGTGACATGAAATTGTCTTTCTAAGATAGTGAGCTCTGCTTTCCCTATACATACATACACACATATACATAATACATAAATATACTGCGTAATTATTTACGAATTGAATATACAAACATGAACGTATATCGAAATTAAGCCATCAAATTATACAAATAGATGGCCGTATTTATTTATGTGTCTACAGTGTAAGTGTAAATACATGTATGAATATAATGCAACCAATTGAATTATACTCCGTATTTAAATGCTCATCAAATATTTATAGGAAGCAATATAATTAATAGCTGACGATGCGGATATTGAAGTGGGCTTGGGCGAAAGCAACGAGCTTGGCAAATTCATCACCGTCGATGATAAAGCCGTCGCCGTCGCCGTCGGCGGCCTTCATCCCCTGGCGAGCTTTGAGCCACGAGAACCTCAAGCCGGCGGCTCGGATCGCTTCCCGGAGCTCACTTCTGTTGATCCTCCCGTCGTCGTCTTCGTCGAACTTCCATATCCATTTCTTGAACTCTTCCAAAGTCAAGTCCATTTTTCCCTCACAAGATTCACAAGGAGCAGTCCGTGCATAACTCTTAATAGCCATTTTTAGTTCTTCCTAACTCAGAAATGATGCTTATAAGTTGTAATTATAGTGATGATCGGTGGTGATTAATTATTTATGGCCTTGGGTTGGTTTATATACTATATCGGGTGGGTTCTTATTAGCTTCTTCTTCAATTCGATCAATTTCGGAATTTTCCATGTGGAGGAATATAATCGTAAGAACGAAATAAAAGAATTAATCACGTGCCTAATTAAAATGTGTGACCGGCCTATTTATAAAGTCAATGCAAGTATTGGATTAGTCAGACATTAGCTAGGCCAGGGGCTAAAGTAAATAAGAGAATCTTAGATAGGTTATAGGTATAAATTCTATTTTCAAACCCTAGCTAGACTATTACTTTTATAATATGTAAATAATACTTCATCCGTTCTTAAATAAGTGCAATGATCAACTTTTCACATTTTCCGATAAACAACTTTGACCATTAATATACATAATTTCTCTATTAGTAAAAAAATTTAAAAAAATATAGATGGATTTTGAAAATTTACAATGAGACAAATTTAACAATATTTTTTTCAAAAAAAAATTATTAATTCATTAATATAGAAAACATAGTCAAAGTAGAGCATGTGAATAATGCAAAATTCAACATGTTCCACTTAATTAAGAACGGAGGTAGTGGTACGTACATGCACACACACGTTTTTAGAAATTGAAAATTACTTTCATAGACGTTTTTGTATACCCTCACTATTTAACTTGTGTACATAAGTACTACGTATTTCTGAAAGTTGTCTATATAGACATAAAATAGATGACATGTATAAAAATATGTGCAAAAGAGTTGTACACCCAAAACTGTCTATAAAGATTGCTCCAAATAGAAGTACATATAGGGATAGTGTTATAGTGATAATCCATATTATATACTCTGTATTCACAAAATATGAGTTAATCCCTCAATTAAGAGTGATGAAGATGTCTTATATTGCCAAGTACATCGTGGTTTGATGGCATCACCTTGACACTCCCAAAAAGGAGGTCACATATTCGGATCATGTCTCAGTTCAAGAATGTTGACCTTAACAAATTAAAGAACATATACTATAATAGACAGAGCCGTCTAATGAATTTGGAGGCTCCGGTTCTAAATGTAAAATCGAGGCTCACATTAATATGAAAAGTTAAAAAACATCAATCTAAATACGTATACTGAAATCAATTGAATACTCATTAAAAGAGAACTAAAAGAGTGAGAGGACCAACGAAAAAAATGATAGATCTATATTTTTCTTCCTTATTAACTGTATTTTACTGATTAATATTAATATATAATATTATTATATAATACTAATAAATTTTTAAAAATTTGGGGCTCCGTAAATCCGGGGGCCCTATTCTGGATAACCTATTGAACCCCTTAAAAAATAGCTCTGATAATAGGTTAGAAAGATTTGCCCAAAAATATATCTTATATTTGATTAAAGGAGTTATACAGAGTAGTAGGGGTGGGCGTGGTTGGTTAACCGTGTTTTGGTTAACCAACTTTCCGGTTAACCGAGAAATCTATTACTTCGGTTAACCGAGTATCGGTTAACCAAAGCTTCGGTTAACCGAGTATCGGTTAACCAAAACTTCGGTTAACCACAAACCGGTTAACCAAAAACCATCAAACCATTGATTAAATATATACACACACCATGTTCTTTCTATATTAATTAAGTCCAAACAAGAGAAAAATAAATTTTGAGAGTGGAATATAGGAAAAGATAAAATACACTTGATAAGAATAAACGTGTTCAATTGCTTCAAAAAAAGAATACACATGTTCAAGTCTCACGATTGCAGAATGGGCTAATTAATTATAACTCACAAAAGCTTTGACTAATTATTAATAATATGAAATTAAAAATTCTATAGTGACAAACAGAATTTGGTTTCTTCACATGTTTATTAGAATTGATGTATCTAGATGTGTTGGATACATATTTATCTTTCCAAGTTCTCTGAGAACGTGAAGTTCATGACCAGACATGAACATACCGGTTATTGGTTAACCGATAATAACATATTTCTAAAACCGTAACCGTACCGCGAACCGTTTATTCTCACGGTTGGTTAACCGTACCGTGGATTTAAAAATTTGCGGTTCGGTTAACCGGGAAAAACGACGGTTTTCCGGTTTTTAGGCGCGGTTATACGGTTACGGTTTTTTATGCCCACCCCTACAGAGTAGTACACACTTTGGTTATGTCTTACACACTTTAATTAAGCAGGCTCGTGCATATATATAATCATGGGTGTAGCTAGGAGGTCAACTTAGGTCCCGTCCCAATTTAATTAAATTTAAAAAATTTTAAAAATATTAAAGTGAAGTATTTTGTGTTAATTTTTTCAAAAACTTTTTATATATACCGGTTCAGCCCAATATTGATATCTATATACGCTACTGCATGTGATGAGTTGCACGTGTCTATGAGAACAAAAATCAACCCGATATCAAGGATCGATCATAGTGTTCTAGAATGGTATTTTTTTAGCCTTTTAAGTTTATGAGATGACTTGTTATTCCCATTTTAAGTCAAATATTTGTGAAGTGGTCAACAAGGAAATAGTCAAATATTCTGTAACTAAAGTGATCGAGAAGGAAAGACTGGTGATCATCCTAAAAAATGGTTCTCTGACTGCCTGCTAATCGGAATCACCCACGTGACAAATCAATCCCATGCATATTTCTTTTATAAACACGTCAAAATTATTTTCTTGGGGATCAAGTAAAAAAGAATCATTTATATTGAATTATAAAATTTTATACGAAATTCTCAAGTTTTCTAATCAGCATGCATTTAGCGACTTGAATCTAGGACATAGATTCAATTAGTAGATTTGACATGCGGATCGATTTGGCCGATGATAGAAACACATTTGATAATTTAATTTAGAGTTTTGTGTCTAAATAGGATTAAAATGTTGCTCAAATTCCTAAATGGGACTAAATATACATTTATTCCTGAATGGGACTATCGTACCAATCTTACCCCTGCATTTAATTCAACCGTGCAGCACCCCACCCGCCCATCCATATTTGTTTTCTGCTCAAACCTGCGCAGAACAGAGGCAAGCAACTTCGACGAACAGAGGCAAGCAATGTTTACGACGACGAGCAACAACAAGCGGCGGTGAGCAGTGAAGGTGTGGCGACGAGCGGCAGCAAGTGGCGAGTGGTGAAGGAGCGGCGGCGAGCGTTGAGCAATGGCCGCCGACGAGCTCAAGTTCAGATATGTTTTGGAATTCAGGCTCGTTGTTCCCTGTCTTGCTTCTTCTTCATCTTCTTCAATCACTCCTCTTTATTCCATATCATTTTCCTGATTTGCTTTGTTTTTTAAAAAATGCCAAATTTTATTTATAAATGCCATTAAAATGGCATTTTTACTCTTCAAAAATTCGCATCTTTTCTTTTGAAAATGCCATTAACATGGCATTTTCGATTCATCTTGGCATTTGGATAATAATGTTGGCATTAGTGACGGCGACTGCCACATCTGCATCGGCGGAGGTTGGATTCGCAAAGGCGGCAGTAAGATTTGCAGCAACGACAATGGTCAGATTTATGACGGTGGCGGCCAGATCTACGGCGGTGATGGCCAGATCTGAACTAGCGGCAGATAAATGTGCAAGGACGGTCAGTTCTCCGGCAGCTCCGACGTCCGGCGACCGGCGGAAGTCTGGTGTCCTGTTTTGCCCAGCTCCAGGGTATTTATGTCCATCTCCAAAAAATCCTGAAGCACTTTTCCATTTCATCCACCCAGTTCTGATTCTATGACATACATCTCCATCTAATTCACCATCCTTCTGAATTATGGATCCCAAGTAACGAAACATATCACACACCGGTATCTCCTTACCATCAAGAGTAATCCCACTGTTGCTACCGCTTCTACCTCCACCGAACTTGCACTCCATATACTCAGTCTTGCTTTGGCTCAGTTTGAAACCCTTGCTCTCCAATGTGTGTCGCCATACTTCCAACTTTGCTTTAACACTGGATTGTGTCTCATCAATCAATACAATATCGTCGGCAAACATCATGCACCACGGTATATCTTCTTGAATTGACTTCGTAAGTTCATCCATGACTAAAGCAAATAAGAAAGGACTCAGAGCAGATCCTTGGTGCACTCCAATAGTAATAGGGAACTCTGCGGTCCTCCCTACACTAGTGCGGACACTTGTAGTACAAGCATCATACATATCCATGACGATGCTGATATACTTATATGATATGCCTTTTCTAGTTAAGGCCCACCAAAGAACTTCTCGAGGTACCCTATCATATGACTTTTCTAAGTCAATGAACACCAAATGCAGATCCGTTTTAGTGTCTCTAAACTTCTCCACAACTTGTCTAAGAAGGTGAATGGCCTCAGTTGTTGAGCGTCCAGGCATAAAACCAAATTGATTCTCCGAAATTTTCACACTTTTACGTAGTCTTTGCTCAACCACTCGCTCCCAAAGTTTCATGGTGTGACTCATAAGCTTAATCCCTCGATAGTTAGCACATTCTTGCACATCACCCTTATTTTTAAATAAGGGAATGAGAGTACTCTTCCGCCAACTCACTGGCATTTTGTTGTTTCTCCAAATCATGTTGAAGAAACGTGTTAGCCACTCGATGCCTTTCTCTCCCAAACTTCTCCAAGCCTCGATCGGTATGCCATATGGGCCCACTGCTTTCTTCCGGCCCATTTTTCTCATAGCCTCTTTAACTTCTGTTGTTTGAATCCTTCTCACGAAGTCCCTATTTACCATACACTCTGGTATAGTAAGATCATCAATACCTTGGACTTTATTCCCGTTGAACAAGGTATCAAAGTATGACCTCCACCTCTCTTTTATTTCTTCACCGTCCATTAGTACCCTTTAATCGACATCCTTCACACACTTAACTTTTCCGATATCTTGAGTCCTACGGTCACGAAGGCGAGCAAGTCTGTAGATATCTTTTTCTCCTTCCTTAGAATCCAACTTTACATACAATTCCTTATTCACTTTTCCTTTTGTTTCCTTCATAGCTTTCTTTGCTCTTCTTCTAGCCTCTTTGTACTCCTCTATGTTCTCGTCGCTCC